GAGTCGGATCGAGTTCGACCTCTCTTTTGCGAGCCAGGGCCAGCCTTCCGCAGCTCAGAAAGGGTAGGCCCCTTCCGGCGCTGCTCTCGGAGGTAGCTTAATATATTTAAGCTCTCCTCGATTTGGGCCATACCTGTTTTTATGTCCATGGACACATTCTTTTGCTTAGACACAGCGCTCTGCATCTTCTTCAGGACGAGCCGAATCTGGGCCAATTGCTCATCTTCATTGCCTTCGCAAGTTCCCAAGCTTGCGGTGACATGCTTGTCGCTGTTTGCAGCAGCCGGCGTTTGAAGACGACTATCCCGGCTGCCGGGAGTTGCCGTTTGGCAAGGTGTAGCCTTCTGCGCCACGCCGGCGGCTTTCTCCGTGCTCGTGGTGCCGGAATTTGCCTGCAGAGGAGTTTGTGGCGGGGAGCGCACGACTCTACTGCTCTTCTTGAATGCGCTGCATTCTTCCTCCGTATCATCGACGTTCGTTTCGTTTATTGGTTTTGTTTTAATCATTTTCAGTCAATTGGGTCTCCGCTTCAAGCCGCTATCTCCACACGTAGCACAGTCGCTTTTAAGTGTCCCGAAGTTCCCTTCTCTCAAAGGAGCAGGCCATCGCGAGGGTTGACACAAGTCCTTATGGGATATTGTGTTCAGAGCCAAGACAGCGCAAAACCAGGAGTAAATCTCAACTGGACCTGTGCGGCCAACTAAATGGCGACGTGTATTGAACGTACTTGAAGACCTGCCAGGGTTTTAACGAGACGGAGGCGATCGCAGCATTAGCCCACCAGCCATTTCTGTGAGGTGTCACCCTCACATACTAAAGTGGCGGAATACTGCTCTCGCCAGCCCAATATCAGACTAATCGTATACATGCTCCAGTATGCCATGAACAGGATCTAACTGGTCTCAATCCTGGGATGCTTTTTGGGGGGCGGCATCTGTTCGCCCGGACACAGGAGATTCATCAAGCATTTCTGATCTTTTAAATCAGGCCCTCGTCTCCTGCCGCTCTTGGTCTGGGACTGCTTATTGGTTATTCGCAGCTAACCTATCGGAGTAGGCCGTTCACGATCCGCCCTGTGTGACCCCGGTAAGGTCCTGAGTTTAGCCCTTACCATTATTATTATTATTATTAATGTTATCATTATTATTATTATATTATTATATTATTTTTGAAAACAAATAAAATAGATTAAAGGGGCAATTCCTATTAGTCCTTGTGAACCCAAAAAAATTATTTCATTTGGTACCCATATTGTTGTTTTACGTTGCACTGAATTTTTTAAATAAATTTTGGAATTAATCGTATCTTTGTAATTATAAAGTCTTAAAAAAAAAAATCATGACGTCGGAGAAATTCGCATTTATATGCAGTTCATTATATGTAATATGAAGTATACTTTTATAAAAAAAATTTAAATTTTGAATAAACAAAAGTAATATAGACAAAACTGGTTGAATTGAGGCGATTCTTATATTTCTGCCACTATTATTACGAACTTCTTTAAACCAGAAAATAAATTTTTTAACTTAATTGTTTTTGCATCGAGCTTTTTTCGACATACCTTAAATTACTTTATTTATTATTTATTATATGGTAGGAGAGCTTCTCAAACCATATTGATGCATTTTTTTCATATTAAGTCGTTGAAAAATAAGAAATATCTAAATCCCGGGACTGATGCCGGGATGCCGGA